TGTTTATTAATAAAGACTGCACAATCATGATGTTCTAATAGTCTAACTTCTAACATACTCCGGGGTCAGTAATATATGGCCCAAGGGCCCAGTCTGACCTGCTGTTTTTATAAATAAAGCTTTATTGGAACACAGTCATCCCCATTTGCTAAATTAGCTAAAGCCGCTTTTGTGCTCCACTGCAGCGTTTAACTATCTAGCCCCAAATATAAGCCCTCTTAGGATTCTGAAATCACTGCGTAAAGCTTACTTCTAATGAGTTGTTAACTCATTAAACAACAGCCATAAAGTTTAACAAATTTGCTAAGGGACTTCATTGGGCTAGAGAGATTTGGCAAGAAGTTTGCGAGGGAAGGGAGACAGTTCAACATTTGCAGCGCAGCAGCTGAAGTCACATTGGTTAATTTGGAAAAAGGACACAGAACTGGTAGCAAGTCTGAGACATTTAAGGTCTTCATCTACAAATGGTAGGAGTTGGCCTAAACGATCTTTAAGTTTCTCAACCTTCCTGAGTCCTTGAAATGACTTCATTAAGCCCACAAGCAAACTCGGAACCTTATGAGCACACAACTCGATAACAAATGTTTCATGGCACCCACAGAAGGTCAAGGCAGGGAAGGAACACATTTTAGAGAAGTAGAAACCAGATGATTACAGAAGGTATGTGGGGCTTTACTGTGTGATTCTTCAAACTCTCCTGTAACTTCGAGAAAGTCAAAGCGAAAGTCACTCAGTCATGACTGACTCTTTGCAACCCCATGGACTGTACAGTCCATGGAATCTTCCAGGCCAGAATACTGGAGTGGGTAGCCTTTCTCTTCTCCAGGGGATCTTCCCAACCCAGGGATCAAACCCAGGTCTCTCGCATTGCAGGCAGATTCTTTACCAGCTGAGCCACCAGGGAAGCCCAGGAATTGTGGAGTGGGAAGCCTATTCCTATTCCGGGCACAGGAATTGAACCAGAGTCTCCTGCATTGCAGGCAGATTCTTTACCAACGGAGCTATCAGGGAAGCCCGACAACTTTGAAATTACTATCAAATAAAAAAGTGTAAAAATAGTTAAAGCAATTTTACATGTTCTCACTTAAAAGGGAACACTTCAGTTACCATAGTCAACAATGTTAACATAATGACTGTCATAATGGATCTGGAAAACATATCAACCATGGTCAGTATGTTCCCTGAAGCAAGCATGCCTGCAGACTACCCTCATTCCCTCTACCCTGCATCCTAAATATCCACCTTATAAATTTAACCCTGAAATGTATTAATATCTTACTATATGGAAAATGAGCTAACTAGTAACTAAAAGGACCAAATAAGACATGAAAGAAGCTGGAGTGGGGAGAGTAGTGGGAGGCAGAAGGAAGGCACAGAAGAAACCAGTTCATCAATAAACTAGATAAACACATTCTGAATGATCACAAACATTAGCAGCCCTGTTTTCTCTCTTCTTTGGTAGAACAGGAAGGAAACTTCCCCCAAGTACTTGACTCTCATACAATGTATGTACCTCCCTTATACTTTTTATGTACACATATTCCAAAAAGAGATGTGAGTTGATTTTTCTAAAATCCAAACACTAAGCAAACATTATGCTAATTGAAAAGTGCCTAGAGAGCCACACATATCCAGGTTGTTAAATATAGAAACCCACTGTAATGAGAACCATTATCTCTGGTTTCCAAGGATACCAGGGTAAGCACTACTCCTAAATTGCAGTTAATTCAGCAAAGGGCACAAAGTCATTTATATTCAGGGTCATCCCAGCTGCCAGCAGATGCGGAAGGAAGGCTAAACCGCCCTCTTTTTCTATTCTGTTCATCACCAGCTCCACGTGCCAACCCCCACCCTCTGGTCCCAACCCTAGCCAATGATTTCTGGGTGAAATTTGGAAAATCGGCTTGTAAACAGCTACTTCCGAGAGAAAAAGAATCTCCAAAGGGCTGGGCAGTCAGAGATGTGAACAATGCTGGGGGTGCGGGTGGGTAGGGAAGGCTGGCATTCCTCTTTGTGAAAAGGAGTGAAGCCTGGTTTTGTGGGTCCACCATGCCAGGGGCCCTCTTTCCTGGAGCCTATGAGGGATAGGACTTAGCGAGGAAACCACCACCATCATCTTCAGGGAATTGCACAACTAATTTCAGGCCCCCCCACCCCCAACCAAGACTATTCAAGCTTTTAGAGTTTGTCACTCTTAAACTGCCACAGTTTCTAGAATTAAGTTCATTTTCAGTTTGCTCTTCTAGACTCTGGGCTTCCCAGATGGCACCAGTGATGAACAACCTGCCTGCCAATGCAGGAGATGCAAGAGACACGGGTTTGATCCCTGGGTCAGGAAGATCCCCCGGAGAAGGAAATGGCAACCCACTCCAGTATTCTTGCCTGGAGATCCCCATGGACAGAGGAACTTGGCAGGTTATAGTCCATGGGGCAAAAAGAGTTGGGCACAACTGAGCATACATGCTCTCTAGACTTTAGGATCTAGATTTTTCACAGGATTACTTACAAGTTGTTTCTATGGCTTTAGTATAAAAACTACTTTCTGACAACTTCAGAGGCATTCGGGACTTTCCCAGTGGTCCAGTAGTTAAGACTCTGCCCTCCCAATGCAGGGGGCGTGGGTTCAATCCCTGGTCAGGGAACTAAGATCCCACATGACCCCAGCACAATCAAAAAATAAAAATAAATAAGAATAACAAAGTAATTAAAAAAATAAAAATAGAGGCATTCCTCCCTTAGTCAAATTTACACTTACTAAAATACTGGTGTGGGATTTCAAGGATACTTTAGATTTATCTTAAACTTATAGAAAGTATATACAAATTTTAAAATATATATAAAAAAACTTACTGAAAAAAAGTATATGTATGTGAATACTGGTGTGGGATTTCAAGGATACTTTAGATTTATGTTAAACTTATAGAAAGAATATACAAATTTTAAAAAGTATATATAAAAAAACTTACAGAAAAAAAAGTATATGTGTGTATATATATATATATACAGGCTTCCCAGGTGGTGCAGTGGTAAAGAATCCACCTGCCAATGCAAGAGAAGCAAGAGACTCAGGTTCAATCCCTGGGTGGGGAAGATCCCCTGCAGTAGGAAATGGCAATCCACTCCAATATTCTTGCCTGGAGACAGGAGCCTCGTGGGCTGCATTCCATGAGGTTGCAGAGTCAGACATGACTGAGCATATACATATATATACACATATATAAAAATAATATCCAGATAAAACAGCAATCTTCCATTTACTTCCTCCCCCATCACTTGTCCATTCAACACAGGAAGACCTCCATGCAGAACTCAGCTGGGGCAGAAGTAACCGGAAGGGTCAAAAAGCTCTCTCTGCCTTCCTGTGTTTCCTCCTGATGGACATGAGGCTGCATCAGGCTAAGCTTCTTAGCTTAATGTGATAACAGAGGTGAATTAGTTTGCCTGTTTTGATAATGGAGGCCTTTTGAGACTCCCCTCTTTTGTATCAGTTCCATTAACTGGAGATGCTCACTGCATCCAAGAGAGAGAAGGAATGAAATACAACAAAGGTTTCTAATAGTTACGTAACATTACAGTTATCCCTCAACAAGGCAGGTCATTTTAAAACTAACAGTTAATACAAAAAGTACAACATGGTTCTGAAAACTTTCTTGCTACACATTCTAGGTAACTTGAATACTATGTATTTAGTTGTGCTGTCCTGATTTCAGTACACAATCCTTAAAAAAAAAAAAGCTCACTTTTTTTGGGGTACTGAAATATTGTTTCTTAATCCAATAAACAAAGTGATAATATCAAATCTTAAAACTATACAAAATGGGAAATCAGTCTCAATTCTCTTAAAAGTTAGTCATTGTTTTGGTGTGTTATTCTGACACCTGCTATTTCTCACAAGGGGCCACATTTTGAGCTAAGGCGGCTTCGGAGAAGATTCTGTGTGAATCTGGCAGCTTGCAAAACGCTTAAGTTGAGCAGGCCACTCTCTAACCTTTCTCCTGGTCTCACCAGAAGCTAGTGCTCCGGAGGATGAAAACACAAAACACAAGTCACTGGCAGAAACGTCATCGTCTGGTTCATCCTTTTCTGACAACACATGAGCTTTCACATAACCTCTAACGTGAGCCTGCTTACATTACGGAACAGGACTGTATTCCCTAGCTGTGCATAATCAACTTTTTGTTTTCTTCTCATCTTTAGCACTGACAGCACCCTAATCCACCAATTCGGGAGCCTAAAACTTGGACTCGAGCCACCTGGCATTCTGGATGAAAAAGCAAAACAAAACAGCGGAAGGGTCGCCTCTTCTTTTCCTTCTATTATCCTGACACCTCATTTCTGGTCTTGCGTATCGCACAGATCTCTGAAAACACTTTCTAGTAGCTCACCTCGTCCCCCGCTCCACCCTCCTCCCTCCACCTCTCCGTAGCTAGAAAGTGTCCAACTGGCAATGTTCAAATCGTAAAGGCAGCGAAAACGGCCCTGCGTGCTGTCACAAATGTCTAAAAAGTGGATTAGGGACCAATAGGGAGGGACAGCTCGGGCACCCGAGGCCCCCGGCCCCCGCGCGGGGCTGGCGCAGCTCGGCTCCCGGCCCAGCCCGGAGCCCTCCGGGGCCGAGCGCAGCCTCCCCGGACCTCCCGGCTCGGCGGGGCGCCGGGGGTCCCCCGCTCTCCCGGGTACCGGCCAGACGAGGGAGGGGGTGTGGCTGGGCTGCGAGCGCGCCGGGGTGGAGGTGACACCGTCCCCGGAGAGTTGTCTGGGGAAGGCGACCGTACGGGGAGTGGAAGGAGACTGCCCCGAGGCTGTTTTCGGCCGCGGCGCCAGGAGAGCCGCAGCCAGCTGGTGGCGCCCGGGGCGCTCGGGGGGTCCGGGGTGGGTGGGGAGAGCCGGGGCGCGGCGCCGGGCGCTCGGGGTCCCCGCGTCCCGGGACTGTCAGGCGGGAGGCGGCGGGGGCCAGGGGCGCGCGGGGCGGCGGCGGGCCGGGCCGGGCGCGCACTCACCGATGCACAGCTGGATGGCGTAGGCGTAGTAGGACCAGCCGAGCAGGAGGCTGATGAACACCACCGGGATCCAGTAGAGCACCCGCCGGCACCGCCGCCTCACGCTGCCCGGGCCCGAGGGCGCCATCTTCCAGCCGCATCCACCTGCCCAGCTCCGCCGCCGCCGCCGCCGCCGCCCGCGGGCCTGGCTCTGGGGCGGGCTGGCCGCGCCCGGCGGCCCCGGCGGGACGGGCCCCGGGGCGGCGGCCGGGTGCGCCGCGGCCACTGCCGCCACCGTGGCGCTAAGTCCCCATCCCGCAGCCCCGAGCCGGCGCCGCGGACTCCCCGCTCCTCAGCGCGGCGGCGGCGGTGGCTGCGAGAGGAGGGCGCGGAGGAGGCGGCCGGGGAGGAGCGGGCAGCGAGCGGCGGGAGGAGGAGGCGGCGGTGGCGGCGGTGGGAGCCTCCGCCCCGCCTCCGCGCGGCCCGCCCGCCCCCCGGCGTCCCCCTCCAGGCCGCCGGCCCGGCGCGGCCCGCGGCGCCCTCCGGCGTGCGCTCGGGGCACTGCCTCCGGTGCCTGCCGCGCCCCAGGCCCTCGCGCCCTCGCCACGGGGCACCTCACGGGCATCCGAGGCCGGAGAGAAGGTTCCCACCTTGGCCCTTCCACCCCCGCCCCCCGCCCCGGGTCCCTGGACCCGGACGAACCGGCCCCACGCGGGGCGAGGACACTGGGCGGCGGCGCGGGGCGCGGAGACGCGCCGGGGAGGCGCCGCCCCGGGAGCCGCCGGCGCGGACCCGATCCTCTCGCCCCGGGAGCCGCCGGCACGGAGCCTAGTCCTCAGGCGCCCAGGCCAAGGTCCCCGCCGCCCGCTTCTCAGAAAGGGTCGCTTCAACTGCGGGTCCTGGTAAACGGGGGGCAGCGAGGGCCGGTCTGGCGCGTTACGGCCCGGGCGCCTCCGTTCCGCGAGGCTTTTGGGGGGATGTGGGAGTGCACCGTGCGTGAGGAGGAAGCACCTTGGGTTGGGCATCCAGACACCGCTGGAGTCAGAAACACCAATTATCTGCTCTGAGAATTTGAACTCTTTCGAGTCAGTTTGTGATTGTTAGAGTAACCATTCCCACCGCCCCCTCCCGAAAGTCCGGGGCTTCCCTCCGGGTACTCTTTCCCCAGCCGGTTCTTCACTACAGTGTTTTCTTTTGTGATGGCAATTCTAAACATAGCATATAGCTGGTTGTAAAGGCATTGCTAAAAATCCTGAAAGAATCCTGAATGTAGTGAGACCGACGCCCTGGCTTTAAGGTTGATGAAACGGAAGATACGAATGCTTCTGAAATTGTTTTCTTTTTCCCTTCATCTGATTATGAACGAACCTGGCTCCAACTGGAAACCACCCCCGCCCCCCAGTTAATATAGTGTCTCTGAATTATGTGCATAATCACTATATATAATGTGTGCGATTTTAACAATTAATGAATATATGTGTATACACCACACAGCAACCATATTGGATGAAATTGCTTCGTATTCATCTGTAGAATGAATGAACAATAAAAAGAAGTACCTATTTACATAAAGAAATTTAAGGTCTTCTATCTACGATTATCTTTCTGTGACTGGATTAAACGGCAAGCTAATCTCCCCTCCTGAAATAGCTATTATGTTAAACACACACACCAACTCTCTTTGCACTTCTATTTTAAAATGCATAGAAAATGCCTTCAAGTTTCTGTCAGACTTTGAATTAGTGAAGTGAGATGACGTCTATCCCAGTGAATCATTTTATGTTGGTAGAAGGCCTTATACCGTTATACCGTAATGAATATAAAAATATAACTTTTTTGGAATCCTCAATCTGATAACCTATGGATATCAAACTCATGCTCCCAGTCAGAAGACTCTAAAAACAAGAAAGTTCCTACTAGGGCTGAGAAAGTCAGCCTTGAAGGTCACTGATGAATTCTAAGGAATGAGAAGTAAGGGACCAATTTTCCCATGCTAGAAACAGTGGAATAAAGTGCCGAGTGTGCTGCTTTAGGTATTAGACGCTGTAGTGTCATCTGCAGCTTCTCTTGAAGCAGTCTTACGGGGTTTTGTGGTCAGAAATGGAGAGTATTCTCCAGTTTTCACATCTCTTACCCTTTCGGAAGAATATGCAGGAGAATTGGAAGGAGGCTGTGCTGTTGTGCTTAGTCACTCAGGCGGGTCCGAGTCTTTGTGACCCCGTGGACCGTATCCTGCCAGGCTCCTCTGTCCATGGGATTCTCCAGGCAAGAATACTGGAGTGGGTTGCCATGCCCTCCTCCAGGGGATCTTCCCAACCCAGGGATCGAACCCAGGTCTCCTGCATTGTGGGCAGATTCTTTACCATCTGAGCCATTTGGAGGAGGCTACATTTTCTTAAAGGGAATCAGTCCTGAATATTCATTGGAAGGGCTGATGCTGAAGCTGAAACTCCAGTATTTGGGTCATCTGATGTGAATAGCCAACTCATAGGAAAAGTCCCTGATGCTGGGAATGATTGAAGGCAGAAGGAGAAGAGGGTGTCAGAGGATGAGATAGCTGGATGACATCACTGATGCAATGGACCTGAACTTGGGCAAACTCTGGGAGATGGTGAGGGACAGGGAGGCCTGGGGCAGGGAGGCTTGGAGTCCATGGGGTTTCAAAGAGTCAGATGTGAATGAGCACACAACATGTAATTTATAATATTTGAGGAATAATTGCAACCTGTTTTGAATCATCACTGAGTTCTCCAAGGGTATCACTCTTACCTAAAAAAGAAAATCTAGTTCACGAATACTTGTTTCTAAAGCTACACGAAGACAGGATTTAGCTCTGCCTGGGCACCCCGAGGTGGCTCAGTGGTTAAGAAACCCCCTGCCAATGCAGGAGACGAGACGCAGGTTCAGTCCCTGAGGCAGAAGTTTCTTCTGAGAAGGAAATGGCAACCCACTCCAGTATTGTTGCCTTGAAAATCCCATGGACAGAGGAGCCTGGCGGGCTACATACAGTCCATGGGGTCACAAAAAGTGGGACATGATTCAGCTACTAAACAATAACCAGGCATTAATTAGACAGGCACAAGCATGCATGCACAAATTTAAGCTCTTCGGTGAGTGGTCAACTTCCAGATAGTAGTCTCTGATGAGAATGAGAAGGATAACTTAGTTTTTAGGACTAGGGAGCCCCCCACCACCACCTTTTTTTGCTTTATTTAGAGCTGTGCATCAATGGGAAAACAATCTGAAGGTCATCAACAGTTATCAAGAAACTTTACTGGAGAGTTACTCCTGAGAGAGAAGTACAGAAGGTTCAACTCACCAATTTTAGATATTCACTAATTATATCAAATTATGAATAACATGTAATAATTTTGATAAAACTGCTATTGCCATTTATGAAAAGGCAAGTCAACCATGGCAAAGGAGAGAGTAACACGAAAGAAGAAGGGGATAGCCTGGCAAGCAGGAGGGCAGGAGAGAGTCCCTAAGAACCGTAACTCTGTCCTTACCAGGCCTCTGCCTCAATGCTCCACCCACTTACTAGTTTATCAAAGTCATTCGCTTTTCAAAACTCCTATTATGACACCCTGCCCCCACCGAGAAAACGATCTTTTTCGTCTCCTCCAGTCAAGATCTAATTGGAAACAACCCCCAGATTCTTCAGTCCCCAAGCTTCAAATCTATCTTGCCATCTGGTTAATACTCCAAATCTTCCTCCTACTTCCAGATGCAGATTAAAATATTTGCTTATTGCCTTTCATAGTATGAACAGTATGAATCAAGAACAGCCTGAACCAAGCCCAGGAAGCCCTGGACCCAGCCTGTCTCTAGGGAGCATGAACCTCCGCTCCTGCTGCCTATTGCAGCTTCATCTCATCTTTTCAGCCAAACCACCTTAGAGCGTCTGAAAACAATACTGACAGATCCTCTTTCATTGTGTTCTTAAACTAAGCTTATCACTCTTTGGGGGGAAAAAATCCCTTTAGAAGTCAGAGAACTATGACATCAATGACTCCAGTGATAATTTGCACTTTGGTAATAGTAGCTGAGATATTCTCTGTGGGAAGTTAATAGCATGCCCAAACCACGTGTCATCTCTGGACACAAGTAACATAAAAGCAGTCTTAGAAAGGGAGCTTGGTTTCGGGAATGCGGTTCAAAGTGCTGCTCAGACACACTTTGGTTCTCAAGAGATTTATAGTGTACAATTAGCCTGGAGTGGAATAGATTGGAATATAATGGGGGAGAATTGCAAAGGCATAACGAGTGTCTGGTGGATTAGGTCAAAACATTGGGAAAATTGTAAAGTGGGAAATACTCTGGCTTGCCTTTCAAGCCCTGTAGGATCTCTGTTGTTAAGTCACTTAGCCATGTCCAACTGTTTGCGGCCCCATGGACTGCAGCAGCTAGGTTTCCCTGTCCTTCACCATCTCCCGGAGTTTGCTCAAACTCATGTTCATTGAGTCGGTGATGCCATCCAACATTTCATCCTCTGTTGTTCCCTTTTCCTCCTGCCTGCTATCTTTCCCAGCATCAGGATCTTTTCCAGTGTGGGACCTCTATGAGAGCGTTAATAGCATCTTGCCACTAGATGGCAGGCGCGCGCCATGCAGTGCGGCTCTACTGACGTTTTCATAGAGATTTCAAAGGCATCAGCCATTAGTTTAACCATGCCAATTACAAATTAGATTTATAACTTCATGACCAATTATATATACTTGTAACTAATTATAATTATATTATAATTATACAATTTTATGCTATAATTTAGTGGCTAATGATTAATAAAAGCCATATTCAGAAAATTGAAAACAATTATAATGAGAACATTTTTTTCAGTTTAGCAAATCGTTCTGTTTCTGCTTCCACTTCTTTTCAGTTGGCTAAGGTTAATCCCTTTAGAAATGAAGTTGGAACTTTTCCTTTAAATGAATGTTTTTCATTTAATGTCTACACCGACCACCGTCCCTTGCCCCTAAACAGGGAGAAATTTGTATCTATGGGCCCAAAAGGTGAGCAGGTATTTCCTCTTCATGGACTGGCAGGATCTTAGAGTGGGGACACAATGGCAAAAATTTCAATTAGAAGTGATGAGACATGGCCACAGTGGAGTTGAGGGTTCAGTGGCCAGCAGGGAATGGCCAGGGG